ATAAATATAATTATAATAATTAAAGATATAAGTAGATACACTGACTACCAATAAGTATTTGGACACCTGTGATAGAAAAGAAAAACTAACTTTATTCAAAATCAATAATTGACAGAGCCTCCACGAGAGATATTTACAGCGTGGACACTCCGGGCATACTTTCCACAAGTCTTTGTATGACAGCTAGTGGTATTTTCTTCCACTCGGCTTGGAGAAGACATAGAAGTTCCTTCGCCGATTTTGCAAGGGTCGTGCACCCCTGAATTCGGCGATGCAACTCGTCCCAGAGGTTCTCGATAGGGTTCAGGTCTGGACTCTGGGCAGGCCAGTCCATTCGATGAACTCCATTGGCACCATACCAAGTCTTGGTTAACGTCGAAATATGACAGCTGGCATTGTCGTCCTGAAAGTAACAGGAGTCCAACCCGTAAAACTGCCACAACGTAGGAAGCACATTGTCATCCAAAATAGTGCAGTAGGCATCAGAGTTGAGCTTACCATGAATGGGGACCAAGGGTCCCAGCCCATACCAGGAGAAACACCCCCAGACCATAATTCCACCTTCGCCGAACTTGACTGTTCGCACAATGCATTCTGGCAGGAGACGTTCTCCAGATAGACGCCAGACCCAGACCCTGCCATCCGAACGGTAAAGGGTGACCCTTGATTCGTCATTCCAAAGAACCCGTTTCCACTGATCTACGGTGAAATTTCGATGTGCTTTGCACCACATTAACCGAGTAGCGTGGTTGGACTTTGTGATCAAAGGCTTACGACCATGAAAACCAAGCAGATGTGCATCCTTACGGATGGTATTCATTGAAACAATACTCCCGGATGCCTGTTGAAACTCCTCGCGGATGAGGGCTATCGGTTGGTCCGAATTTCTCTGAACAGCACTCGTCGGTCTCTATCCCCCAGTTTCGCTGGTCTGCCGACTCGGGGCACATTCCGACAATCACCCCTTACCTTCCAATTCTTAATCACATAGGCCACTGTCGATATTGGGTACTTCAGATCGCTAGGATATGTCCCTTAAGGATCGGCCACATTTGTGATACCCGATAATTATACCTTTCTGGAAAATCAGAGAGCTCCGAACTGCGAGGCATCTTGCATACGACTAAAGCCGATGCTGTTTCCTACACGATATATGCCGGCGGAGTCCGTGGCGTACCTTGGGACCGCAGATATCGTCATTTGCATAGGTGTCCAAATACTTATTTGTAGTCAGTGTATAAACTATGCATCGCATTAAATCATAACAACACTTTACTAGTGTAGTTTCCATATTTATCTGGAAGGTACATTTAATTTGTTTAACTATGTCTTTTATTTTTACATGTTCTGCCAAGTGTCTAGCTCACTACTTATTATATACATTTTTCAATATGTTTCAAAAGTACTGTTAAAAACTCAATGCGCAACATATTAATAATTCAGTAATATTGCTTTATTAATTACCTATTATTATTTTATTATTCATAATTTTAATTATTACGAGTTAGTTGTGAAATTTACTTTTACAGCATAACAAACTGATGAAGTATTAAAAATTATCTTGCTGGAGCAAAACATTCAGTTAGACCAGTAAATTAGCAACAATATAGTAATATTAATTAAATTACTTTTTAAAAATTTTGAAAAATGTTAATAAATATTATTTGTAAAAAGCTTGTTATGAAATATTAATTAGTTCATTTATGCACAGTTTATGATCTTATCCTGTTCTTGACAAAAATAAACTCAGTACGATTATTTTCTTACAATTTTGAGTCTATTTAAAATACAGTACAAAAATATAATAAATATTTTTATTTCTTTCGTCGTTAAAAGAAGCCTTACTGAGTTGTAAAATGAATATTATTTAAAAAAAAACTTAATATACTACAAGGTCTAACTTCTGCTTCTACTTATTCGTAATTTTTGGGTGAGTGAGTGCGCCGCTGAGATGATTTTCGACCGCAGAGGTGAATCAAACGAATTGTATACCATCTTAGCGAGAAAATCTACTATTTGTCGGAACGTGAACAAATAAATAATAATAATAATCTAGTAATATAAGAATGATCCCAAAACTTTCAGCAGCATGATTACTGTGTGACAGTCTTTGAGTGCAATATAAATCCAGGCTTCAGATTAATCAAAATTTTAAAAATCAAAACGTCACATAAAATTTATTAATGTACACAATTCGACAATAATTCACAAATTATTTTGTCTGGGTAAGTCTAAGACCCTTTCAGTGGAATCCCATTTGTAAAACCTTCATCTGCATTTCCTTCACAGATGTAATGAATTCGTCACAGAATCGATAGATGTCAGCCTTCTGAGATAAATAGTAGAAAAGGCACAGGCTTGATATGACGGATTTACGTAGATCATGCAAAGGATAAAAACAATTTTGACAGTTTTCTAAACGCTTAAAACAAAACGTTGAAGGTGGCATTTTAAATTTTCTGGCTTACTGTGCAATATTTTTTAAAAAACCGTTTATGTGCATAAATATGAGATTCTACATATGTATAATTTAATTATGAAATCCTTACGTTACGCACATAACGCATTTTTAAATGCGTTACGTGCTGTTTTCACATGCTTTTTTAAATGCGTGTGCATGTTACGTAAGTAACGCATTTTTAAATGCATATGTTAATAAATTATCTTCAGGCGGAAATCTGAAGTTGGGAAGCAAAATAAATTGTTTAAATATTTTTTAAGTTTCTTGTTCGGGTATAGGGTTAAATCTGGATTATTCTTTTAACGCAATAGACATGGAAAATAATTTACTACATACCATATACAACAGCTTAATGCAGTTTTAAAAATCGCTTTTTAATTAACAAAACGTAGAAACGAACTATTAAAAACAAGGATTTTCAAACATATCTTAAACTTGAGAGATACCAAACTTACTTAGGAGAAAGTAAGCCTCGAAACAGTTCTTGGTTAAAGAAATAAGTGAACTTCCAAGAATATTTTTATTCATGTTTGAAAAACAATTTTGCATCTTTCTTGAAACCCAAGAATTTCCCCTACGTGAGCAGCATAGAGTTAACATTTCGAAACTAGGCCATAATTTTAGATTTCCTTCTTCAGGTACTTTCACCTAATGTTTTGGAAACTACTGAAATTATTTCTGAAAAGCACTTGAATATTTTTTAAACAAAAAAATTTTAATTGAAAAATGGAAGTTGTTAAAAGAAATCTGAATCTTTTATTCCCTTAGTATGAAATCTTATAAATTAAAAGAGCAAACCTTTAGAAGAAAAACCCTGGTTTCTCAAAACATAAGTGCTTCACGAGAAATCACTAGAGGTTCCACAATAAATAGTGTTCTTTACTTAATATGTTTCACAAACAATAATCAATGAACAAATGGACGGTATTCCTTCACTTTTATTTCATTACACTAATTATAAATAAGATGTCAGCGATGCGAAATAATTGATACAAAATAAGCGAGCCATTCTACATGGCTGTCACAAACACAATTCTATCAATCAATTATCTTGCTGTTACACATAATGTTCAAAACTAAAGGAAGAAAAACAAAAGAAATTTACGCTGTTTGCAACAATAAAATGAAGCAAACGATACTCACATAAACAAATAGTATTAATCGCATCTAATGCTAATCAAACATAATACATGACTAATTATATGTAACATTTTAGGCACGCGTGTTCTGGGATATGAATATTATTTCAAAAGATCCTCAAAGAAAAAAGCTGAGAAAAGCTAGTCCAAGGACTATGACAATGAAGTACAATTCTGTAGTCCTTAACATTATTTTAAAATCTACTTCATGCTTAACATTCATTTTTGTGTCTGATGGAAATCTCATTAAAATCCTATCGTTTCTAAACAGCTTCGACTCTCTTCGGTAATTTCTCAAATAGTTGAAGATCTAGGATTAGAAAAATGACATATAGCAAAGTTCTGTTTTAACTGTCATGAAATGCGGTCGAAAACTATCAGACTTTCAGATCTCTTACACAAATGATAGATTCCATTTGGAAATGAAGTCATAAAATAAATTTCATTTAACAGTGTTTAAGAAATGCATAAAGATAAATCGTCAAATTGTTAAAAATTATGTTGTTGCAATACAGATAGGCGAATTTAATTTTAAATTACAAAATTCAAACACACGTTAATTTTACAGAAAAAGCCTCTCGATCAAAATTAGATATTCGAACGACTAAAAATTGGGAAGAAGGTTATCAAGTTTTCCGAGAAAAATTCGACTGGCGAAAACTGAAGTTAAAAACGTTTGCAAATATGAAATTCAAAAGAATCTAATTCATCAGTTGAAAAACATTTTAGGATAACTTAATAAAAACTAAATTTAAAAGAATGGTTAAAAGGCTAATAATTGTTAACAATGGATGATTTAGTAATTCTCCTTTAAGTCATAACTGCTAATTGTGGATCTCTTAAGTATTTCTCTAAAAATTTAGTTCTGCTATATCCCCCCCACGAAAAAAATCTTCAGCTTGTTGATTTAGATTTACTTGAGGCATACCTATCATAATTATCTAAATTCCACATCTCTAACTCTGATCAATGTTTGTGGCTTTAACTTCAAGTCATAACAATGTTAATGACTTTAACTCTGATCTAGTTGTCTCCCAGAACTTTCTATCATAATGTTTTAGTGTCCATTTCCTTAATGTTTTTTTCTCTGAGAGATGACGCTACAATTTTTGCTTCATTTTCTCATTGTGTTTATCTATTTTATTCCCTTGTTTAAGTATTGTACATTCATTCTATGGCGTAAAAGACTGTTGATTCTTAAGAAATGGTATCCATATCTACCAGTCAGTCTCCTTCCAAACTCATAGAGTTTTTCAAAGATCAGTCTAAGATTAAATTTTGCTTAGTTTTTAAATTTCAGATGCGTCCGATTTTCTTTCATTTAATATTTATATTATTTTCTAATGATACTATTAAACTATGAATTATAATAATGGTACTTTGTTTCCCTTTTTGTTTAGACTTGACTTCTAGATGACATTAGGAGCTGCAGATGTAAAGATGACTTCAGAAACCTCAGGTGGACATTCTGACCAACCGACCAAGCGTCAAATGTTGTGGACATCTCTCAGATCTTGTCCCCCATTATCACCATTCTCAACAGTCACTTCTTTGGTTCTTCTCATTTTTCTCATTTATGGTACGCTATGGGGCCTAATGAGAGATCCCGTACTGCCAGGTGGGCCTGTATTTGGACTTTTTGCTATAGTCATCATATGCTATTTGGGTGGACAACTCATGAAACTTCTCAAAGTACCAACGCTTGTAGGTAAGTTGTAATTCGGAAATTATTTTAATGAAATCATCAAAGTAGGATGAAAGTAAACTGTAAAAGTTTTTATGAGATCTTTAATTTCTGAGATAAAAGCAGTTTTCCAGTTTCTGTTTGTGCCGTCATAGTAATGTCGAAGAATAAGTGGGTTCCCAATGCTATTACTGCTGTTTCTTAGACAGGGCCGAATCATAGTACAGACAAACAAGACAAAGTTCAGGGCCCTTTTTTTCCCTTTTGAGGGGCTTTGTCAAAGCATCCACTTTGAGGAAAAAATTGTAAAAAACAAAACAAAATTTTTTTTTTTTTAATTTGAAAGGTTTCAGATTTTAAATTACGCCCAAAGGGGTGTTTTATTAACGCTTTGTGTATTTCGCACTTAAAAGATAAAATTCAACTCAACAGCAATATTGCAAAATAATTTTTAAATGAGCATATCTGTAGAATTTTCGATACACAGTCTCGCACGCTGGAGATAGAATTTTTTTTTTTTTTCGTACAGTCTTGCCATTGCTCGCTTTGAAATCATTGAGTTTGTTAATTAAAAATTCATTAAAGTGTTACAAAATATGAAATCAATAATAAAGCAAATTCCAAGTTAGGGCTTCCAGATGCTCACATTTGGTGAAGAATTACGTTATTCAAAATTTGATGACTCTAGGTATTGTTGTTTTATCACAATGCGAGAAATATACATACATTTATGCAGATTTTTCATTATTTAATTTCTTCAAATATAATGCAGGACTCTAACATTTGATGGCAACAGTTTGAAAAGTGATTCGCCGTTTATAGTAATTCAACGCAATATCGTAAAACGAAAACGGAACTGAAGGACACTAAAAAAACTCCTTTTATTGAAATCTACAGTTCTTCTCCCTTAGTTACATGTAATTTTTCTAAATGATCTACTTCACGTAAAAATACTATGCTCACTACCTGCAAATTGGGACATGACACTAGGAATGGTATTTTCATTTAAGTAATAAAATGTGTAAAAATTTGTGTACAAAACAAGTCCAAATTTTAAACTTCGCTTAATTCCTTATTACGGGTACATTTGGTTCATCTAAAGCATGATCTAATATTAGACTTAATTGACTTTATTTAAATAACAGCTAAAAATTCAAATAATCATGGCTGCATCCTTTCGAACTTCCACAGAAAGACTTTTCGGAAGTGTCTTCGTTTCAAATGTTCCTTCGTTCCTTATGTTTAGTTTATTTATTTACTTAGTTTTAAGGTAGAAAACCATGATCGATGAAAATACTCATAGGCAGTAACATAATTATCTAATAATTAATAGTGAATATTACAGAATTCATTCTAAATTAAGTACTATTACTCTCTGTCTCCACACCACCATGAGAACAATAGTCCTGCTATTATGCTTAAGCTTTTATTGCGCGTCCTCTGGAGAAGAAAATCTACTATCTGTGCATTACTGCCAAGGGTCGGGCTGGACATGCGACATAATTTAAACTAATATCGTTAAGTTACGCGGGCAACAAGGCCCTCGAAGGAAATACATTGGAATCCTATGTTGCTACAAGCGAACAATGTAAGCTTAACATAAAGATAATTACATAAAGATAAGTTACTTTGTAAGTCGTACTGCATAAATTATAGGATTATTTACATCAATTTCATGGAAACCAATATTGTGCAATATTATAGGAACGTTTTTCAGAATATATGCATAATACACATAATTCTTTTAAACGAAGTAAATGCAAATAAAGGGTTGGAAATTCTTAGCACAGAAAGTAAAGGAAAAAAAGCTTTAGTCTTTCATCCAGTGACAAAAAATTCCGATCTTTATAGCAGACAGAAAGCATATCAGTCTATTTCCAGTAATTAAACTAAGTGAAAACTATAACATTCCTCCAAGCATTACTTTTTTTGTTTTGTTTATTTTTTTCGTTTGCATTCTGTTTTTAAAGAGATCTTTATTAATGTTATGATATGGAACTCAGCATTTGCTGAACTCTGTCTTGAACTCTAAAATTATTTCGACGAAAATTATAAAGTTTTTATAATGCTTTCATTAGTTTTATCTGCTATTTTGAAATTTTTTTTAATTCGAACAATAGGCTACTTGAATATTTTTGCCTTTATATTATACTTTATCATACTTCACTATTATACTTTGTCTTTGGATTCAAATTTTAACTAGACAACTGTTTTCTCAAACTATAGAAACAATGATATAAGAATTACAGAAACAATGATATACTTGTAAAAAGTATAATATAACAATGATATAAGAAACTGCAGAAACAATGATATAAGAATAGTGTCTTCGGTTCTGTTATCAAGTTGTCATTCATAAACTCGATACAACTATTTACAATGTACAATATACAACTATTTACAGTCCATGAGCATCTAGCTATAAAATATTTCGCAATCGATATGACAACGCAGAGATCTTTATTTCGAAATATTAGGAAATAAAATGAAAAACATTTCATCACTTCTACCAATATGAGATAAATTTAAGAAATTTGCCATATGCGTCAGATATCTTTGTATGCGAAGCAAATTGTTTCTGATTCGGTGAATTTTCTAGGAATCTAAATTGAAGTCGAGTTTCTAAAGACAAATTATTTTTATCCACACACTATTTACATTACTGAATTCAGTTGTATGAGAAAGAAGGATATTAAAAGGCGTAATGATTTCCCTTATCACATTTTCGATGGCTGAACAATCAAGACATCAAAATATATTTATTTCACAGACGTAAATGAATGATTCACGATTTCACGTAGGACACTAAAAGCTATATTCACTGTATATTTATCTCTGCGAAAAAAGCTTTTATTCAAAGTACTACTTCAAAAAGTCAAACTTCATGCGTAATTTAGCTATGAATACTAGAATGAAGAATTTTTATCTCAATACACGGTGTGTGATACACGTTTTACAGATCATAGCTATTTATATTAAACTAGTAAGCCTTCCTATTCTCTAACGAATCGAATAAGCGAACTCGTGAAACTCGCTGCGGCATGAATTTCATGGAAATAAAAAAAAGAGAATAGATCAAACTTTTAAGTTTTATTTACATTTTGAGACTTTGCGGTAAGATTAAATGAAAACTAAACGAAATTAAATAATAAATAAATAAATAAATAATACTGAATGAGCCGCCCAACCGGGACAGCGTTTAGTGACGCTGACTGCTGTACCGAAAGACCCGGGTTCGAATCCCGGAGAATGTTTGTAAATGTATAGTGTCTGTGCTGCATGGGGGCAGTCTAAATACGCCGCGAGCCGGAAGTCCTCTTGAGAATTTGGTGGTGGAGCAGGAGGTATGGGAGACTCTTGGATCCATTCTTCCGAGGTGTTCTGTATCAAAATTGGTGACGGAAAAGGAAAATGGGAACAACGCAGCTGTGATTTAAAACCTTTACATTTTCCATATTCGAAAACAACCCTCCATGACTGTCATATATAAATTTATGTTGATTATATTTTCTTTTTATGTTTTCTTTTATGTTTATTAGTATATTCGTTAATCTATATTCTCTTTTATGTTGAGTAACAAGTAAGATAGGTAGTAACAAGTAAGATAGGTAGGAGCAAAATAGTTTTACTTCAAAGTCATCTGAAAACTTTAAAACATTAATACACATCGAGAGAGGTCTTCGAGAACAGTTAAAACGTCTCGCCAAGCACGAGCACAGCAAAACAAAGAGTTATGTGAATGGAGTTAATTTGTGTTAGTAACTGTTTTAAGTTGCGGTTAGTCTGCACCTTTGTTCTTTAAGAGGTTTTGTTCCTCTTTGTTTCTTTAAGAGCCTTCATAAATGCATTTACATTTAAAATTAAGTCCAAACAATTATGCAGCAATTTATTTTTCTTTTCATCTCGCATTACAATGAATATTCAAAAGTTATACATAACTACGGATGGAATGGCGCATTGCATAAATCTGAAGAATAAAAATAGAAAAAAACATGAAATAGTAGACAGCATAATTAAGAAAAAGATCTAGAGGATTTATAATAATTGAAATTAAAATTTTAGCTTTTACACACACACACATACATACGCACACATACATATATGCAATAATTATCCGCTTCTACATTTCTTTACTTTAATGAGAAAATTATATATTTGTTTGCTTATGCGTCAATGATTTATCGGTATAATTTAGTATTTGATTAACAAAGCTGGTTATTATAATTTTCTTTTTATTAAGAATGCAATTGTGAAATTATTCTTTTATAGGGAAAGATTGGGCAACGGATGATTTGGAAAGACCAAATTTTTTAAGTAGGAATACATATGAAAGTGTTATTAAAAATAGTATCAACTGTTTAAAAATGAATAAAACCTTACAGTTTCATGATGCAAAAAGCGTGCATCTACAATGGTATAGCAGTCGGCTAGACGGTATAGTGGTTAAAAAAACTGATTACTACTTCGAACTTCAGTCTGTGTGTGAGCTTCAGTACGCTTAAATCTTAGCCGTTTGTGTGTGTTCTTTCTCCCTTGTTGCAAGTATAATATCGGTCTACCGTATGAGGTGTACTGGACAACAGTCTTGATAATGAGACTGCTGAATAACCGATGGATCTCGACAGTTGCTTGCGAAGCAAGTGCCCTCTATCGATGGAAAAAAATTATCTATCATTCCTCTTAAAATATTTATCAACTTTCACTTACACTTGATATTTATATGCCTGCGTTATCTCTATTCCAAATCGTCCGATAACCTACTCTGCATTCTTAAATACTATTACCTATATTCTACTGATCATTAATCAGTCAATAATTAGTCATAATCTATAAGGTATTTTCTCTTTCCTTTCCGAATGCTTTCGTGGTGTAACTGGAAGCACGTTTGACGCGTATTCGGGGCTTTGAATTCCGGCGAGGGCATTGTGGATTTCTTCAATATCCTGACTTCGAAAAAATTCTAAATGACTCCAAGGGGGGATCGAACTAAAAGGTGCTGTACGATAATTCGTCACCACCAATAT